AGCGCGAGCTGATGACTCGCGCTTACTAGGCATTCCTCGTTCAAGATCGATAATTACAACAATCTATCCCCGTCACGATGAACCTTAARAAGGTTACCCGGGCCTTTCGACCCAGGCAAGCGACTCGTTGGATTCATCAGTGTAGCGCGCGTGCGGCCCAGAACATCTAAGGGCATCACAGACCTGTTATTGCCTCAAACTTCCGTTGGCTAGTCGTGCAACAGTCCCTCTAAGAAGCTGGCCACGAGGAAAGGTCCCCGCGTAGCTATTTAGCAGGCTCAGGTCTCGTTCGTTAACGGAATTAACCAGACAAATCACTCCAATCTGTCAATCCTTGCTATGTCTGGACCTGGTAAGTTTCCCCGTGTTTAGTTAAATTAAGCCGCAGGCTCCACGCCTGGTGGTGCCCTTCCGTCAATTCCTTTAAGTTTCAGCCTTGCGACCATACTCCCCCCGGAACCYGTAAACTTTGATTTCTCACAAGGTGCTGGCAGAGTCATCCAATAGACATCCGCCAATCCCTCGTCGGCATCGTTTATGGTTGAGACTAGGACGGTATYTGATCGTCTTCGATCCCCCAAGTTTCGTTCTATTAATCATTACTCCAATCCCGAAGACCAACGAAATAGGACGAGAGTCCTGTCGCATTATTCCATGCTAAATGTTCAGAGCAAAGGCCTGCTTTGAACACTCTAATTTTTTCAAAGTAACAGCGCCGGCTCTGGATCCCAGCCAAGAAAGGCAAGGAACGCATACCCGGCAAGAAAGGCGAAAGGGCCGGTACACGCCCGCAAGAGCGGACCAACCCCTCCCACCCAAAATCCAACTACGAGCTTTTTAACTGCAACAACTGACATATACTCTATTGGAGTTGGAATTACCGCGGCTGCTGGCACCAGACTTGCCCTCCAATGGATCCTCGTTCAAGGTGTTTACGACTGTTCTCATTCCAATTACCGGACTCGAAAGAGCCCAGTATTGTTATTTATTGTCACTACCTCCCTATGTCAGGATAGGGTAATTTACGCGCCCGCTGCCTTCCTTGGACGTGGTAGCCATCTCTCGGGCTCCCTCTCCGGAATCGAACCCTAATTCTYCGTCACCCGTTACCACCATGGTAGGCCTCTATCCTACCATCGAAAGCTGATAGGGAAGAAATTTGAATGGAACATCGCYGGCTCAAAGGCCATGCGATTCAACAAGTCACCATGATTCGCCGCAACAACGGGCAAGCCCGGATCGGCCTTTTWTCCAATAAATACATCCCTTCCAGAAGTCGGGATATGCTGCACGTATTAGCTCTAGAATTACCACGGTTATCCGAGTGGTAAGGAGACCACCAAATAAATGATAACTGATTTAATGAGCCATTCGAAGTTTCACAGTGCAAAGTGTTCACACTTATACGTGCATGGCTTAGTCTTTGAGACAAGCATATGACTACTGGCAGGATCAACCAGGTAGCGGGTGTGACGAGCAGCCGCAAGGAGCGATGGCCGAGGCGCACGTAGGCACGTCACGTCGGACACCCTACCAAAAGAACGTCGAACAATCGTGGAACGTGCAATGAGCTGCCGAGACGCTGTGAAGTCTAGCTGTTTGAATTGCAGGTGAACTTCCCTCCGTTGGCCATCTCCAACGGCAAGGTACCGCACAATCCAACACAGCCCGCCGCACCCGCCCAAGAGATTGGCTGCGAACAGCACCCACCCACACCACACCCAGAGATCGCARGTTAACCACACTACCCGAACAACGGCGCGCGCGAAGGAACCACCGACAGCTTCGGCCCACAGCCGGATGCCACCCGGCCCAAAGCGTACCGACAGCGAAGTGCACAGCCTCATCTCTCCATCGASAAACGCGGGTGAAGAGAGAAATGAATGCACCACGCTTCCAACACGCCCGGACGGACGGAAAGCCTCCACCTGTGCACGGGGGCGCAAGAGGAACACAACCCCTTTCCCCCCAGGGTCCACATCTGCCGGTTGCCGCGGGCACCACCAGCATCACTCGACACAGGCGAAACCCAGGAGACAGAGGACAGTAGCCTTCGAAGCCCACAACCCAAACGCAGCGGAACCACGACGCAACGCGATCCGTCACGGTGTGCAGCATACCGAGACCACGGGATGGGGGACACGACGGGCACAARCGCGCATTCCAAAAAGTCGGGCGGATGACGGGCCCAGCCTCGCGACGCCGTCGGAGGGTGCATCACGCATCCCACAAGTCTCCGCCCTCGCATACGGTAAGCAGCACATGCATGGCCGAGGCCACCTGCGCCACCGCTCAATGGCGGCGCTCGGATGGCGAAGAGCGCAGAGCGTCCTCACAAAATCGTGACACCCCCTCAACACAAACGGAACACGCGGTTGTGAGTGCGGACACGAAGACGACACCCCAACAGAGCCACAACAGCTCTCCCCGTAACCTACGGGACGATGGTGCCGAAGCTGAGAGCCGGTGACGGGCACCTCCGCCTCCACACCCTGCAAACGACCGCCAACCGGACCGTCGTCGGCGATCAGGCACCAATCATCGCAAGACGATGAGCGAGGGTGAACGCAACGATCCACAACCCGGTACCACGGCATAGGAAAGCCCCGACAACCGCGACCACCGCCAACGACGACCGAGCTGTCGTGAAATAAGCCCTCCGAGAGAGACGACCATGGACTTGAACGGCGCAAAAATGTTTGCTCGACCACCAAAGCACGACTCGCCCATCCCTCGCAAAAAGGAAACCACCCAAAGCGTTTGCAGAGAGTCCCTCGTAACTCGAGTACAAGGTCCCAAAACCCACGCCCGGAACGTCGCCTTCGTCGACTGCAAGGGGGCTGCTTAGCACGCAGGCCCCTATAATAGTGCAAACGGGAATCCGAACCGCCAACCACCGACTGTTTGGCACATCTGGAGGGTGCTCACTGAGCCATCCGCCGAGGGACCTGCACATGTCCCTTTCCAGCAAGCTGACTGAACAGACCCCAATGGCGATGTCCCCCTCGGCACCTCCTCCCTTTCTGCTCTCAATAAGACGCCTCTGGATCTTCGATCCTGGGAGACCCCCTTTTCTCGGGGCCGTTCCTACGCCCGAGTGGCAGTGCGCGGTATCTGCTGCCCCCACAAAATTCGACACCTCAAAAGNCAGCTCGAGGCCGACACCCCCAACCGCAAGCCCACCTCGAGCTGATGGGAGCGAACGGAAGGCGGCCACCACACAAACCGGAGGGACGACCTTACGTGCCGTTACCGAGCTGTCGTGAAATAAGCCCTCCGAGAGAGACGACCATGGACCCGAACGGCGCCGCAAAAATGTTTGCTCGACCACCAAAGCACGACTCGCCCATCCCTCGCAAACTGGAAACCACCCAAAGCGTTTGCAGAGAGTCCCTCGTAACTCAAGTACAAGGTCCCAAAACCCACGCCCGGAACGTCGCCTTCGTCGACTGCAAGGGGGCTGCTTAGCACGCAGGCCCCGATAAGAGTGCAAACGGGACTCCGAACCGCCAACCACTGACTGTTTGGCACATCTGGAGAGTGCTAACAGAGCCATCTGCCGAGGGACCTGCACATGTCCCTTTCCAGCAAGCTGACTGAACAGACCCCAATGGCGATGTCCCCCTCGGGACCTCCTCCCTTTCCGCTCTCAATAAGACTCCTCTGGAGCTTCGATCCTGGGAGACCCCCTTTTCTCGGGGCCGTTCCTACGCCCGAGTGGCAGTGCGCGGTATCTGCTGCCCCCACAAAATTCGACACCTCAAAAGTCCGTCCCATCTCCGTCCCTTCCACACACAAAGGGATAAGGAAAAGGGCCGGGAAAAAAAAAAAAAATACATTAAAAGGCCAAATAACTTCAGTGCCAAGCGACTTAGATCACGCCGCGGTATGAGAGTGAAAAGTTTACGGGAAGTCTGGCAGAATCGTGCGTCCGTTGTGGGGTTATGTGTTGGCGAACGTGACCGGACACGCACTCCAGAAAGAGAAGGGGGGAAAGAAAAGTCAAGGATGACTTGACAAAATCGTCATTTCAATTTGTGTCGTCCGGCAGAACAAGCAAGGCCGAAAACTCGACGGCCATTGGCTTTCCAGGTCCGAAACACCAGGGGCATGCTTTGCGCACCCCCCACCACGATTACGCTTGTACGCAGGGAGGGCCAGACGCCCTCTGTCTCTGCCCCTGTACTAAAAATCTTCCTACCCTTGGTCCCAGGTCTTCGTGGAGCCAAAAGTGGCAGGCCGTATGCGGCGACATCGGACAATGTGGCATGCACAAATGCCCACCGGGTCAAGTACAGGAAGACACGCGGATACATATCCATGCTTTCAGACAGATGGCGCGCCGCAGTGGCCAGAGGCTTACAACGTGGCACCCACCCCAACATGGGCTCGAGCACAGTTCTCCTTTGAGCCAAAAGTGGAGTACCACATCGGGCAAAAGGGGCTTCAGATGGAAGCAGCAAAACTGAAAAAAAAAAAAAAAAAAACAAGCAGCTGATTGGCCCCTATACAACGGCGACGGCTCTCTTCAGACGCGGATGACCGTCGTTCAAACATTTGAGGAGGGGTGGGGAGCCAGAAGGTGGGGGAAACCTTTTGAACAAAGGGCCAAATCATAATAGATCGTCACGACAAGGACACTCTACTGCTTACAACACCCCGTTCCTTGTCTAAGTCCTCTGCGAAGGGTTTGACTCCCCGAGCGAAAGAAATTGCGATGAAGAGACCCCCAGGGCGTCGGTGCTCTGCCGCAGGAGGGATAACTCCGAACTTATGCTTTCGGGGCCAGACCGGCTGGCCCTATBGACAGCCTTGTGTCATCCGAGGAGGCATATGCCGTTGCTGCAAGCATAGAATCTGACTTAGAGGCGTTCAGTCATAATCCCACGCACCGTAGCTTTGCACCGCTGGCTTTTCAGCCAAGCACAATTGCCAATTGTGCGAACCAACGGTTCCTCTCATACTGGGTTGAATTACCATTGCGACGGCGGTGCATCAGTAGSGTAAAACTAACCTGTCTCACGACGGTCTAAACCCAGCTCACGTTCCCTGTTGGTGGGTGAACAATCCAACACTTGGTAAATTCTGCTACACAGTGATAGGAAGAGCCGACGTCGAAGGATCAAAAAGCAACGTCGCTATGAACGCTTGGCTGCCACAAGCCAGTTATCCCTGTGGTAACTTTTCTGACACCTCTAGCTTCAAGTCCTGAAACGCTAAAGGATCGATAGGCCATGCTCTCACAGTTTGTATTCGTACTGGAAATCAAAATCAAATGAGTTTTTGCCCTTTTCCTCCACACGAGATTTCTGTTCCCGTTGTGCTCATCTTAGGACACCTGCGTTATCTTCTAACAGATGTGCCGCCCCAGCCAAACTCCCCACCTGACAATGTCTTTCACTTGGATCGGACAGGCCACGAGGGCCTGCACCTTGGATCGAGAAGCAGGGGCAGAGCCCCGGCTCCACCTCACRAAATAAGTAAAATAACGTTAAAAGTAGTGGTATTTCACTTGCGCCGTAAGGCTCCCACTTATTCCACAACTCTCAAGTCATTTCACACCGTCGAACTAGAGTCAAGCTCAACAGGGTCTTCTTTCCCCGCCGATTCTTCCAAGCCCGTTCCCTTGGCTGTGGTTTCGCAGGATGGTAGATAGGGACAGTGGGAATCTCGTTAATCCATTCATGCGCGTCACTAATTAGAAGACGAGGCATTTGGCTACCTTAAGAGAGTCATAGTTACTCCCGCCGTTTACCCGCGCTTGGTTGAATCTCTTCACTTTGACATTCAGAGCACTGGGCAGAAATCACATTGCGTCAACATCCGTTGGGACCATCGCAATGCTTTGTTTTAATTA